CATCCCATCTCGTGTACGTTTCCAGATGCTGCTACTTGGGCCCTGGCTCCTGCCCTGCAGGTCGATGTTGGCCGGGGGGGGCGGCAGGAAACCCTCCTGGACAACTAATCCTGCTTCAGTTAAACTGCAGCCATTAATAATTTATGAGTGCTCATCTTTTCTGGAACTTAGTTGTAGTGATTTAACACTTCCAACCTAAGTAATGTTCACTTATAGGTAATAATTCGTATGCCACATGGGGAGGCCTTGATTGAAGCGGTGGAGTAGTTTTTTATGGTGGGGGAATCTGATTATTGTGGAGGTAGAGTGATGTAGAGTATGAGCGTCAAACTATAAAGTTGATAAAGAAATAAACCAGTTGTTACTATTGCAAAGCTTTGTTTTGTGGTCCGGAAGTAAAGCCATGGGCCTAATTCTCCTTCGTGTGAACCTTTTGCAGATACCTGTCTTGTCTAGAATTAATTTAAAATGCTACCACTAGGCTGAGATACCAACGCCTTCCACCCGCTTCATTCTGTCTTTCCATCCGCTGAATAAAGGCAGCCCTCCTGGAGACGCAGAGGTTAGGCCTGCTGAGGCCTTGTCTCTGTTCATTTAACTGAAATTGAGTGTACTCTTTTGATTAAGAAAGCTTGAAGTTATACATGTAGCTAAACTTAGTTTGAATCATTTTAGCTTTCTTTGGCAATTTACTGAATGAAGGTAACCAAATTTGAGATAGCAAATCTACTTAGCCAAATTAGTATAAATTCTTTTGTAGAGACAAGGTCCTGGAAAGATGATGGATCTTGATGGTGCCACATTTGTCATTTTATTGATGTTCAAATGCCAGGAATCCCTTTGGCTTCAATTTTGAAAGTTTGCTTAATAGTTTGACTAGGTGCCCTTGAAGCCCCAGAATATTTTGCCATTGATATTGGATGTTAAGAAAGTAGTTCCTAAATCTAAGGGAGGAATTTGGTATGTGCATGTTGAAACTATTTCTGTTGGCATCTTTAGGCATCTCACATTTGGTCTATATTCCTTGTCTGCAGGAATTTAGTGGTTTATTCTGCAGGATATTTTCTATCTTCTCATTTTTTTGACAACAATGATTAAAAACGAAGTGATAACACTAAATTTTCTGAGACACAATAAAGTTGAGTTTAAAAGGAGTTTGTCAAGGGGATGTACTTGTACAGTGTCAAAGGAGAAGAAATAGCTTCTTTGTGGGGACTGAGAGGATGTCTGGAACATGGCCAACGGTCACATTGTAGAAAGTACATCAAATGGTGCTACAAAACATCACGTGGGAAGGGTTTTAAGGATCTGTCTTAGGGCAAGAAAATGGATTTTAGGACCACGGGATAATTCATGTGAGAAGGGACTTCAGAAAGTGTAAAGGAGGGTCAGCTATAAGGCCAGACCAGGTTGCTCATGGCTTTATCCAGTCAGGTCTTGAAAACCTCAAAGGATGCGAAGACTGTACAGCCTCTCTGGGCAACCTATTCCAGGGCCTGGTTGTCCTCACGTAAATATAATAAATGATGAATGAGCTTTCCCTGTATCTAGTCAAAACCTGTCTGGCTTCAATTACCTTAAGCAGCATGTTTCTGTTGTTGGAAACACTTTTTGCCATGTAGGACCTGATATCTCTGGGGCACTGAGAGCTTCTGATTTCTAGGACATCAATAGAAGTAGTGCGTCCTTTGTGCCAGTTAGGCTCCTGGTAATAGCAGTCAGTTTTCACCTTATGATCTAACAGGGGGATGAACTCAGCTCTGTTCTTAAAAAGTAGTGAATAGCAGTGGTAGAAAGGGAGATTCATCAGTCTTACATGTAGCTTGGTTATCAGTTGTATAACAGCAGGGGTCTTGTGTATTTACCTGCCTTGGGGCAATCTTTGTGGCCTGCCCACGCACTACCTAAGCTAACAAGTTCAGTGGTACCCTGGGATATTTTTACCATTCTGTTGTGACTTCGCTGTAGAAATGCTTCTTAAAGGCTAATAAAATATTACAAAGTCAGTACAAGATGAACTTTAAAAGGTGTTTCTGTTCTTTCCTTTCCTGTCAACTGAATCATTACTGTGGTGTTTAAAAATGGGTTTTTAATGGAGAAGAAGATTAATCCTCTGTGCTTTTTGTTTCCTCTTTATTTTCAGGGGTTGGAAAGACTACTTTGATCCAGAAAGTTGCTCAAGCTTTAAAATCCTCGGGCATTCCCATTGATGGATTTTACACAGAGGAAGTTAGAGAAGGTGGCAGGAGAACAGGATTTGATGTTGTCACTTTGTCTGGAAAACGAGGACCTTTATCTAGAGTCAGGTACTGAGGTTTTAATAACTGTAAGTGGCTTATTGTTTTATGCTTCTGCTCCAGTCTGTCGGCATGTTAAATGCTCCTCCAGAAGGTGATTTCTAGTATGCATATGGCTCTCATGGTCAGGTTCTTTGTTCAGTTCTCATGTCCTGGCTGATACCTGTATTGTGTATATAGACAGTGACTCTATTCCATAGTGAAACACTGAAAATGTGCTAGGGAAGGGTGATCTCTCTTACTGCCTATTTTACTCCAGATAGAAAGGAAACACTGATGAGCCTTTTATTGTGAGGCCAAGGCTCTTTGGGATATAGTAACTAGCTTATTGTAGGCAGGGAGTTAGGTTTTTTGTTTCCACCATCTAATTTATGGAGACAGAAGTGGAAAATAAAAGGGAAATTGCATATAATGTTGTTTTAAAGAGCCACTGACTGGCCCACAAAACCCACATGTGAATTTTAAGAAAAAGAGGATTTAGGAGCCCTGCTAAAGGGGGGCCTCTGAAGTGCAAAGGGACTTACAGTCTCTCCTGATTCACTAGACTTAGCTTTTCACACTTTGTGCAAAACGTAGTTGAGGTCCAGGTGTGATGGTAGTACCTTGTTCAGACATAGTTGATCTGACTAAATAATTTGCATACTGCTAATACAGGAGGTTCACCTAGGATAGTGTAATGCAGCACGTACAAACTGAGTATTTTTCCAAGGTTGTTTAAGGGGTTTGCAGCCCGTACTGTGATTTGGGCTACTGCTGTGATGCTGTCTGTAGTGCCACATTACCAAACTCAAAGATTTTTAACTGCAGGCATGTATTTTGATTTCAGCATAAATATACCTGCTGGCTTTTAGATCCCATTGTCCTTCCATACACTGTTCAAATTTGAGCTTATGTAGTTGTGAAGGTAGCTTATGATATTATCTGAAAGTATGCCATCTGCAATATGACTTAATGGATAGTTTACAGAGTTTCTTTCCTTTCCTTAGAAGCATTAAGAGGATTTGACTTATTAGGATAACTTCTCATAAATCCACTGGAAATGACTGCAGTGAATTCTTACTAAACTCATTACTTAGAAGGAATTGTGTATCTCTTTTTTTCAAATTCAGTTCTGATTCTTCTACATCAAGACGTGAATATCGGGTTGGACAGTATGTTGTAGACCTTGTTTCATTTGAGCAGTTGGTTCTACCTATGCTGAGAAATGTGAGTATTCTACGAAAGCTGCTGAAAAATGGATGCTTTATGATAATCAGTGTTATTGGAAGGCCCTTCTAGAGCACTAGTTTTTGATATTGGTAAATGGCCTGGTTCTTGGGTAATGCTGATTCTGATTGACTTCAGGATCAGGAAGCTGGAGGGGCAAATCTGGCTTGTTCTCTTGTGCTTATGGTGGTGGTGGAGAGATTGTAATCCCCTCTCATTCTTGATGTGACATCGTCCTGTGAGCAGGCCTCCTTGGCCTGAGAGATAGCTGTTAGGAAGTTTCTTCCTATGCCACTGGCTTGCATATTGGAAAGCAAACAACATGTATGAGTGGCTTACCACGCAGAACTGGGTGGAGTCAGTGGGTCCAAGAAAAAGGCTTTTCCTGCTGCTCTTCTACTTTACAGCCTTTTTTTCCTCTTGCTGTGATTTCCATCTTCTTCTGGTAGAAGCATTTGTTTCTTGAATCCAGTGGTTATTTTTGATTACTGCTATATAAGTACCTGCAGACTGGTAGGTTTTAGCTGATAATAGCAGCGTGATAGTTTGGGATTTAGCCTGCTGCCCAAGGAGTGCTCTGGCTGTGACAAGACTTTGCACACTGTCTTTTTCCTATACTTCTGCTAACATTCTGTTACTGCCTTTTTCCTTCTCCTTCCTCTCTCTCACTCCAACCTTTCCCCTATCCAAAATTAAACAAGAACAGATCTGATTTTGGCAAAAGCATATCACAGTGTGCAGCAGCTGCTGACCTGTACTACTAAAAAAATCCTATTGTGATTTTTCTATACTGTCAAATCTCAAGGGGCCAGGAAAGACTTCTTAATGAACTTCAAAAGAACAAAAAAACAAAGAGGTGCAAGGAGCAAAAATGAAATTGAGGATCTGCTTCTTGTTTTTGTCAAGGAACATTAAAATCTGAGAAGCAAAGACACTGGGGACAAGGGAGCAAGGAAATATGAGTAAAATGGAACAATCTTTATATGTTTAATTTCATTGTAACTTGATCTACTATGTTAGTAAATAGAAGGATAGTTTAATAAAAAAGACTTAATTAAGCCAACACTGTACTCTGAATCCTTTTACTGTTACATTAATGTGAAGTCCAGGAGAGATCTTGCTAGAAGGGTGTTAGCAGTGATGAATTTTTCTGGTTGTTATGTAGCTTTCTACAAGTACAAGAGAGAGAGGAGAAGAAAAGGGGCCAGCAGGGTCGGACAGTACATGACCCTGTTTTCATTGAAAGCACTGTTAATCAGTTTTGTGGAAATGTGGTCATGCATGTAGGCAGCACAAAACGGGAGAGGAGGAGAGTGAGGAAGAACATAGAACAGAAACAAGAAGAGACAAATGAAGAATGAGGGCAGGAGAGTCATAGGTATGGTCTGGTTTGATCAGAGAGTAACACAGAGTGGGCAGGTGCCCATTTAGTCTTGAGGACAGCTTCAGCTCTTAAAGCTCAGATCTTGTTCACTCCAGTGAGAACAGGGATAGATCCTACAGTGGATGATCTCTCTGGTTCTGGAAACTTTACCAGGCAGGACTGAGGATTTTTTTTCAAAGCAAAATGCTCTGTTTCTCAATGTGTGACCTAGTGACTAGTATCGGCTTTTTAGCTTGCTGATCTATGAAAGGATTTTAGATAAAACAGATACTCATCAGGGACTTAGTTTGAAAAGATTTTAGGATGCATGTTACACAGTTCTTCCGCTTTCCCAGAAGCAAATACTTTGCCTTCACAAGGGAAAACGTTTCGATTTTTTTTCCTTTTTTTTTTTTCAGGTTCTGTATGATATGGGTGGTATTGGTATATATTCATGGATCTACAGTGACGATTTGACTTGAGTTGATTTCCTCCTCACTTCTGTAAATAATGGCGTACAGTTCTCAGTTACTTTTATCAAGAGAGCGTAGGCAGTGCACTTTCTTTTCTGTTGAATAATTCCTCCATTTTCCAAGTTGCCTTTCCCTCAGTGACAATCACCCATGTTCTCTCTTAGACTTCCCTGCTGCTGCTCACACCATTTGCAGCACGGTACTGTTTGGCGCAGTATTCGCTTCATGAAAAAAGCAAACAAATCAGAAATGTGGTTAATTATTAGTATGGTGCCTGTCCTATGACCCGGGGGATGGCTAGGACTAGAATACGCTATAACTCGACGAAGAAAAGGTGACTGTTCTGATGTGAGAGGTTTGGAAATGGCTTGGTTATTATACAGATAGCTTCAAAGAAAGCTGGTTGTTCTGAGAGACATGCTAGTTTTGACCCTCTTTTGACCCAGCTACAAGAGAAGAAACTTCCAAATCTAGATTTAATACAAGTCTTTTGTTAAATACTTGTCTTGTGTGGGTATTGATCTATTCTAAATGCATAATTTGATGGGAAGAGTGAAGTTTTGAAAAATTGCTGTCCCTCAGATTGATTGAGAGCCACTCGTAGGCAAAGTGCAGTTAATTGTCAAATAGCTTGTATGGGACCAGTGTGAGAATTCTGCTTTGAAGGAAAACTAATCATAGAATCATAGAATGTTTTGGGTTGGAAGGGACCCCAAGAGGTCATCTAGTCCAACCCCCCTGCAGGAGCAGGGACACCGCTAACTAGATCAGATTGCTCACAGCCCCATCCAACCTGGCCTTGAATGTTTCCAGGGATGGGGCCTCCACTACCTCTCTGGGCAACCTGTTCCAGTGTTTCGCCACCCTCACTGTAAAGAATTTCTTCCTTATATCTAGTCTAAACCTAACCTGTTTTAGTTTAAAACCATTACCCCTTGTCTTGTCACTGCTGGCCCTACTAAAAAGATTTTCCCCATCTTTCCTATAGGCCCCCTTTAAGTACTGAAAGGCCGCAATCAGGTCTCCCCGCAGCCTTCTCTTCTCCAGGCTGAACAAGCCCAACTCCCTCAGCCTGTCCTCATAGGAGAGGTGCTCCAGCCCCCGGATCATTTTTGTGGCCCTCCTCTGGACCCACTCCAACACTTCCGTGTCCTTCTTGTGCTGAGGGCTCCAAAGCTGGA